AAACATTTGGGCAGTAGAAGAGCTGCTTTGAGAAATGGTAGGTTCTCATTCAAGGAAAGTTTTAAGGTAAGGCTGCATGGCCAACTGTCAAGGAAGTGGCCATTCTATTCTTCATTGAGCAGGGGTTGGACAATGTCATTTCCCATGCCTCTTCCATCTCTTATTATTGTTTTAAAATGGTGTATTGGCTTTTTGTTTTAAAATGTATTGCTTTAATTGGCTTTTATCTGTTTTTTTTTTTAAATCTTGGAGCCCTTCTGGCTTGAGAGGCAATACAGAAATACTATAAATGAATTTAAAAAATGCAAGACATGGTAATGCTAATACATCTTGATCAGATAAACAAAACAAAGAGCACAACTGAGGAAGGAGACAGATAAATGGGCATGAAGGAAACTAAGGGGGGTTGCAGACTGCCAGAAATAGTGCAAATTGAGTCCACTTTAAGGGTTAGGGTTAGTGCTAGGGAATCATGGGAATTTTTTTCCCTGAGACATTGAGCTTTCTCTGTCAGAGAGCTCTGGTGCCACAATAAAATACAGTTCCCATGATTCCCTAACCCTAACCCTAACCCTAAAAGTGGACTCAATTTGCACTCTTTCGGGTAGTCTGCAACCCCCCTGAGTGATGTAACTTAAGAGATCCAGATGCTGAGCAGAGAAGGATGTAGTACTGAGAAAAGAGCAGCAGCTGAGGGAGTTCAAGGAAAATGAAGATGTTTTGAGAAACTGTACTTCCATATATGACTTTTCTAACAGGGAGGAAACAAGAAAAAGAATCTTACATAGCACTGGAAGGCTAGGAACTAAAAATGGAAGAGGGTGGGGTGGAACAGGAGAAATGCTGCTAAAGCTACTTAAACCCAGAGCAATACCAAGCAGACTCAGTAGGATCTAAGTCCCATTGCACTCAGTGGAAATATATTTCTGAGTAAACATGCTTAGAAATGTGACTGTAAGATGAGATTGGGGAAATGGACCTATGGGCCACATGCAACCACCCCCTGACCTCTATCAGATGTCTGAAGCCCCTCTGAACTCTGGTACTTCCCAAAATATTGGGGGAGGGAAATTACCCCAAATTGATTAACCACTACTTCTGGTGGCCTCCAGGAAGGGTGAAAACTTCTGTAACACTCCAACCTTTTCCCATGAAAGGGTACAGCCTATCACAGGAGAAAACACTGGCCCCTAAACTCTCTCTTACTCCTAAACTCTCACACATTCTGTAAGAAAAGTCAGTGTGGTAAGTTCAGTTATTTATGGAGAAAACATAAATGTTCCAGCAGACAACAAGTGATTCTATTTCAGTTTTGTGGTAACTACCAGATTCTTTTCCTTCTCTCACATCGTGTTATGTAAAAGAATCTGTAACTTCCATGTATGCATTCACTCTGGCAATTCAATCCTCTTCTATGAATTAAATGAATACTGTTTTGAGAATGCTCATTACATACACAGCCCCAAGTTGCTGATGCAAAGTAAACAATGGATCGTAGCTGTCACCATGTGTAGTTGCTTCAGATGGCAAAATCCTATCTGCCTCAGGCAGGAGCAGGAGCAAGAACTGGAGCTGGTTATCCTGCTGTCATCTACTAAATTTTGTAACATAAATTGAATATTAAGTTCAAAAAGGAAATGGTCTGCATCAATATATATATCTTAATATAATATATATATACTTAACTTAATATATATATATATATATATATATATATATATATATATATATATATATATATATATATATATATATATATATATACTTAACTGTGATAGCGACATGTGAAAATGTGCTTTCTGGAAACATTCATAGTTATGTTTTTAAAAGTTCTTTGGGAATGCCACTCATTTTCACACACCCTTTGATGACCAATTTGTATGGAACTCATGCCACAAAAGGCACAGGCAGGAAGAATTGTTGCCACCCCTTGACAGAAGCAGAATAAACTATGAGCATATCTATGGCCCAGAGTCTGTCCAACATTCTTGGCTTCCTCTGTTCTGCTGTTCTAGTGCCCAGCACAAAAGATGAGGAATACTTCCCAACAGAGAGCTTCTTGACCTCCCAGTCAAAAGGCCTTGTGCAAGTATCTTGCCCCTACCCTGACAGATTTCCTTTGGCAGAAACAGGGAGGAAAGCACCATAAGGCAGCAGATGATGTCTTGTAAAATTCTGTGGCTGAGACAAAGGGAATGGATGATAAAATATTTTCTGGAAGCACCCTAAAGCCAAAAAAAGCATGAATTAAGTTAGTACTTGGTTGGGAGACCACCAGGGAATACCAGGTACCGTAGGCTGTATTTCAGAGGAAAGCAATAGCAAACCACCTTTGAGTGTTGTTTGCCTAAGAAAACCCTATGATATTCATGGAATCACCATAAGTTAACAGGTAACCTGAAGGCATATAAAGGCACACACATAGATTGGGGTGGAATAAGGCTGTATACTCACAGGGACATACTTCGAAATTGACTTTAAGCACAGCTAACAGGCCTGGGTAAGGCCATTTTGTTGCCTGACTCAACATACAGAACTGTAGTCCAAGACGTCTAGAGGTTTAATTTCTTTTCCCCATGACAATGGAATGTCAAAAGGCTTTCACTTGCCTGTGCTGCAAACAAAGGGACTCCATGATGCAATTTGGCAGACTTTGAATGTCAGTTATACAGTGACATCAGAGAATGCTATTTAGATCCCTTTCTGAAGAAAATGAGGATCTGGAATACAAAGAGGAAATTGGAGTGTTTTTTGCTCCAGGCAACTAACCAGTTCATCACTTAAAGGATTGTTGTCTTTACAGTAAGCCTTGCTGAATGCAAGAATTGTCAGGGAGACCTAAAAGTATAGCAAATATTTCTGATATTCATCTTAAAGGTTTTTTCTCCTTCTGAGAGTAGCACTGTGTTATAAATATATATGTTAGGGCCTTTACAGACTGTCAGAAATAATGCAGCTTGAAGCCACTTTAACTGTCCTGGCTCAGTGCTAGGGAATCATGGGAATTGTATTTTTTTCTGGGACATTGAGCGTTCTCTGTCAGAGAGCTCTGGTGCCACAATAAACTACAGTTCCCATGATTCCTTAGCACTGAGTCAGAGCAGTTAAAGTGGCCTCAAGTTGCATTATTTCTGGCAGTCTGTAAAGGCCCTTACTCACTATCTAGCTTTATTCATTTGAATAATTCATTATCTTTATACAAATCTTGTTATTCGAGTTTAACTTGCTGTAGTCCAGGCACTAATGCAATAAATGTTATACTGCTACGAGAAGCTGCCAAGTAAATGGAGGCTGATATAAAAAAGAGGATTAATTTTCCCTTTTCCAAGCACCATGTCCTAATTTGCTAGGTCTTACCAGCTAATATCTCCAGACAAAATAAAGGTTTCTGAGTCAAGATGATCTTGAGCAGACAAGTTGATGCTCTTTGGTAACAGACCACAATCATGTACACTACAAGATGACTAGTTAATAACTTCACAATTCAAATTATGAATTTCCATGCTTGGGGTTTTATTTTTTGTATCTGTGCATGTCTACTAAATCCTCCACAATGTATTATCCATAGGATGTCATTTGGTGCAGACAGATCACTAGCCTCTAGCTTTTCCATTTAAGAGAGCTTTCATCCACTGCTACTCTTTTATCTTTTTTTCATGTACAATATCACTGATCCTATTTCAAAGCCAATTTGTGGATTCTACCTGACTTCATCTGTATGCTGTAAATCCAGTCAGTCTACACTGTAGTCACTTCTTGACATCAAAGACATTTTCATTCTTTGCAAAGGGAAATGACAATATATCCTGATACTGAATACCTTAGATTCCTGAAAAGACTCCATGCACTTTGCTTTCTTTTTCCTGTATGTAATTGCCACTGAAAGAGCTTGCTTTTATGTGTGCAAAAATTAATCAAGTTCCTATTTTCTGCTCTTTGAGGATGCCAGTGAGGTTTGTGCAATGGGCTCTATCCACTATCTTTTCATTTCCATGGTTACTATTAGTCACTATCATTGTGTTACCTCCCCCAGAGGACACATGTTTTGCTTTTTTCTTGAATGGAATACAGAGCCAGCCAATTAAGTGTTACTAAAATGTCAGTTTGACTTCCCTTGTTTTGATCTGAGATACTGATTAGCTGCATACTGATTATACACATACAAAATATATTTTTTAAAAAAGCCAATTAACTAATATCTGTTACAAAATGGCTACTTAAGCCTTTCCCCCTTTTTCTAATTGTCTGTAGTATGAGCACTGTGTGTATGTATGTGCCTTCAAGTCATCTGTTGACTTATGGTGACCCCATTAATTTCATAGGATTTGCTTTGGCAAGGAATACTCAGAGGTGGTTTTGCCAGTTCCTTCCCCTGAAAAATGCCCTGCAGCACCAGGTATTCATTGATGGTCTCCCATCCAAGTAATAACTAGGGCTGATCCTGCTTAGCTTCCAAGATCAGTCAGGATCTGATGCCTTTATTGTATTTAGGTATCAACAACTGCCCTCTTCCCCACAGTATTGTATTTAGGTATCAAGAACTGCGCTCTTCCCCCAGCCTTCTGTATTCAAAGAATTTATTTTCAGCAACTGTAGATGTTAGCAGGAAGGCATTTGCAGACAGAACTGCCATCATTCACAAACACTAGCATAAAATTAATAATGTCTCACCCCAGGATTTTGCAGGCTTTACCTTGATTGCAGCCTTTCATACACCTTTGGTCTTGTCTCTACTTTCCATTGGCCATAATAAAGCCTTAAGAAAGCCCCCCCCCCCCCGCCAACTGCATGTTCAGTGGACATGTGAATGTGTGGGATAACACATACAAATGAACTACCCAGGTACTTCCATTGTATGGTGGAAAATTATGTTTATACATCTATACACATTTTTTTCTGCCATATAACAGAAATACCTGTATATATTATCCCACCCCTTCATGTATAGATACAGATACATGTATGTATCGAAATAGACGTGTATACATCTATGCACAACAGCCAGTGTAGTGTAGTGGTTTCAGCCTTGGACTATGACTCTGGAGACCACAGTTCAAATCCCTGCTCAGCCATGTAAACCCACTGGGTAATCCTGGGCAAGTCACACTGTCTCAGCCTCAGAGGATGGCAATGGCCACACCCCCTCTGAAGAAAATGTCAAGAAAACCCTGTGATAGGGTTGCCTTAGGGTCAACGTAAGTTGGAAATGACTTGAAGGCACACAACAATAAACACCATCTATAATAATAATAATATGCACATGTAGCAGTGGTGGTCAACTGGTGCAACACAGCATGACTTGGTGACTGTGTCACACATTCTTTCAGTGCATAGGGGTGATGTTACTGAGTGAAACCTTCATGAAAAAGTAAAAAGGAAAAGCAATATCTGTAACTTGAAAACATCTGGGGATACAGCAGAGGTGATCTACTTTTGGGGCAGATTAGGTACTACCCATTCATCTCTCAAACACTTCTCAGCCAGGAAAGGGGCCTGAGGAGTACTTAGACCTTGCAAAGGAGAAAGGAATAGCAGACTAGATGCAACTGACTCTTCTGGTGAGTCCTTGTCTTTGGCTATGGCAACTCCACCTCTACCCCACTAGCCCCAGTGGATGTAAGCTGTCACTGAGATATAAAAGTGCCTCTTTCTGGGACAATGAGAGCAATGGATTTGCTATTTGTACTACAATTTTGTCTGCATCCATCTATGCTCACACTATATATTTGTAAAAAGAGCCAAAGATAATCCAGTTATCTTTCTTCTGAAAGGAAGCTAGTCCTAAGCAAGTACAGTGGTTTTTCACCATTTGAGGAAGTGCAGTGTATCAATACCATTGTTGGACTTGTACCAGGGAGAACTCATTACCAGATAGTACCCCCTCACACTTTCATGACTGAGACCACAATGTGTTGTTCTTGGATCTCAGGTTTTGGCCTTGAAATCTCCAGGCCTGGGCTAGTCCTGACCTTGCAACACAATCACAGGATTATTGGAATTAAAACAATAACAACAACAAAACCAAGGAGATTTCTATGATTTCTATGATTCTATAAGAGGGTAGAGACCATGCATGATGCCTTGAACTCCCATTGTGCCAGCACCACTAATCCTCTGCTGCCAAACATTAAATCAATAGTCCATGCAGTCCATGATTTCCTTCATCTCTGTAATAAGGATTCAGTGCTGCCAATTTGAAAGAGATGCTGTGTTATCCAGAGTTCCAGTTAGGTTGGTCTGGAAAAATATCTCTCATGTCCTGAAACATAGGGCCCTTTCATACTACACAATTAGGAGTACATTCTCAACCTGAGAGTTTTAGTGTCTCACCACACTACAAACTCCAGGATTCCAAAGGATCCAGCCACTGCAGTTCAAGTGGAATCTGAAGGATCATATCTCCCTGTATAAACCATCCCATATTTTTGAGATCTTCTGGGGAAGTCCTTCCCAATGTCTTGCCTTCTTTGGCAGTTACTCTCAGGTTCTGGAATGCCCTTCTTAGGTTATACTGCCATTCTACTTATTATCCTTTTGTAGACAACAAATACTTTTCTGTTTTGGTTGACCTTTTGTTGTTCTCTTTTTTAAATGGTTTGTTTTTAACTGCTTTTCATTTTATTTATAGTTTGTATTTTTAAACTGCTGTACAATCACATTTTTAAAGTTATACCTATTTTAACTTTTGTAATTCACCTTGAGTTGCAGAATGGGGGGAAAAGGAAGGAATAAATAAACAAATATATAGTAATGATGATGGTATAGTAATAATGATGATAGAATAGTAATAATGATGATGGAGAACTAGTGTAGTGTAGTGGTCAGAGTGCTGGATTATAACTCTGGAGACCAGGATTTGAATTTCCATTCAGCCAGGTGACCTTGGATGAGTCACATACTCTCAACCCCCCCCCAAAAAAACCCTCATGATAATGATGATAGAATAGTAATAATGAAGATGCAGAGCCAGTGCAATGTAGTGGTTTGAGCACTGGACTATGACTCTGGAGAGCAGGGTTCAATTTCCTGTTCAGCCATGGAAAGCCACTGGAACACCTTGGGCAAGTCACACTATCTCAGCCTCAGAGGGGAGAAAAGGCAACTCCCTTCTGAACAAGTCTTGCCACGAAAACCCTGTGATAGGTTCACCTTAGGGTCACCATATGACTAAAACAAGTTGAAGGCACGCAACAACAATGCACACTTAACATGATGGTATAATTGTGCAGTGTTAAAGGGTCCTGGGGTACACTTTCACAGAAACTTGGTAAAGCCTTTGTGTGAGAAGAGAGTTAGCTCATATGTGGTCAAGACAGGGAACAGGTGTAATAAGGATTTAGGATGAATACTGATGTGCAGTGAATGTGTGGACAGTAGCATTCTGGTTTATCCTTTCAGATTAGCTATTTGCCTCCATCTGGTGTTCAAAACTGGTAACATTGAAGTCCTGTTTATATTTACCCCTCTGGCATTTAAGCCTATTAGAACAAACTAAATGGGTGAGGCATGGTGTGTATGTATTGCAGGGCAAGGGCACAAAGAAAGCAGAGCTGGGCAGCTCTGGAGGGTCTTGGCACCAGTTTCTTCCTCACAATCCACAGCTATGTCAAACTTGAAGTGGAGGAGACTGCACTTCTGTCAAAGGGCATTTTCTTTTAAAGAGGAGAAATGTTATGTAAAAAAACAACAACAGAGGCCTTGCCCACCTCTGCTGTACAGGCTTGCTTATAACTAAAGTATCCTGGCAATAAGAAACCACAGGATCAGGAAATTGTTATTTGATCCACCTTGCATTCTCTACTTCCCACAAAAGCTTTACAAGTTCATACATGTATGTTCACCATTCAGAGATGACATGATGGCTTGCATGTGTCAAAAGCCTCCTCAGGGCACAGGGAATTTCTTTAGCAGGAGCTTAATTGATGCTGATAACCTACTTTTCAGCAGAAGCCCTCCACAGGCATACCACTAAATTGGCAAATCACTTGGCGATAATTGGCAAAACACATAATTTGTACAATTCAATATGTGGCCACAGATATGAGTGGCTGTCACACTGCTCAGATGTTTTGGGTCATTTCATTTGAAAACTGCTTCTCTGATACCCAGAAGGATAACAGAATCCCTGATGGAGATCCCTGGGGGAAATCCCCAAAAAAGGAGAAATGAAACCACAACCACGCTACACCCACTATACTTCTAATATCAAAACAAAAAAAGGGACCAAGAAGCTTATCACATGACAAAAGAAAGTGGCGGTTCAGCTGGATACCACATGATGTTGTACTTCTTCCGTTCTCTTCCCATGAGAGACAGTCGTAAAAGAGAGTCTTTGTCAAACAGATTTTTCCAGCTAGAAAAAAAAAAGACTTGATTTTACTACCATCTTCCATGGGAAGAGAACTAAACTGATGATATGCAGTAAGGCACATAGAAAGGCACTATTATCTGTCTGAACTTCCACTTTCTTTCCTCATGCCATAAGCTCTCAAGACGAATATTCACACCAGACTTGAGGCCTGTCCAAACTACTGCAAAAAGGCAAGATCTCTTACAACAGAAAAGCTCATTTACTACTGGTTGGGACATCCAAGAAAAGCATTTTCAATCCACACAGACCTCTCCAGCCAGCAGGGTGGAGAGAAGGGATAAAGGAGGTTGGGTAGGTTTTATAATGCAATCAATCCACAGTTCTTAACATTTTATTTATATTTTGTTGCTGTAGACCACCAAGACTTAACTCAATATTTAAAACCTTAAAATACATCAAATATGTATTTGAATTTGATCATCAGGGGTCTTCAAATTTAGAGAGAAGGGATAAGTAAGTAAATGTACATATTCTTATTATAATATTTTATTGGAATTAATCCAACAACAACAACAACAACAACAACAACAACAATAAATATGGGCACTTGGTATCCACTGCGGTTTGGTTCCAAGATCCCCCATGGATATCAAAATCTATTAATGCTCAAGTCCCGTTAAATACAATGGTGTAGTAAAATGGTAAAATCAAGGTTTATAAAATGGCAAAATCATTTTATAATTTTGGCTATAAAAGGTTTGGCTTTTGGATTTTTTTTTTTTAAAAAAACAACATATTTTCAAGCTGTGGATGATTGAGTCCATAGATACGGAGGTACCTCAACACTGAACCATGGCCTAATATTATTTGTTAATTTTAATTAATGGATGGGTGCTGCATATCTCACTGACAAGCCTTGCTATATTGGGTGTAATGGATAAAGCCTGTATTCTTGAGTTCTGATCACCAAAGACCTCTCTGATGTATATTCACTGCTGTTTCTGTGTGCCAGTAATAGTGTCAAGTGGTGTGAGGAGTTGAGCCTTTGTTTGCTAGGCATGTGCATGTGTGAACATGAAATGCAGAGGGATGAAGTTTGCTTCTAATTCCTCCACCCTGTGTGCTGTTTTGATGGGTTCATGGGGGGAGGGGAAGGTTCCTAAAGGCAGAAACACACACATGCATACACACACAAATGTGATACACTTCCTCACTCACAGACATCCATAGTGTGGCTGCCTCTGCTTTGGAACCACTGCTACTTCTGCTGCTGCTGCTTCCAATACTACTATTTATGCCTATGAGCCAACCCACCAATTTCTAGCTGTCCCCCTTTGCCTCTGATTCTGCTCACACTAGCAGCCCCAAAGTCTGTCACTCAGCACAACACGTTTTCCCCCACTCCAGTAAAAGTAAGGATGCAGTGGCTCAGTGGTTAAGACACTGACTCTGATGATGGCAAGATCAGCAGGTTGACAGTTCAAGGCCCAAGTGCCATGTGATGGAGTGAGCTCCTGCCACCAGTCCAAGCTTCTGCCAACCTAGCAGTTTAAAATCATGTAAAAGTGCAAGTAGATAAACAGGTACCACTTTGGTGGGAAGGTAACAGCATTCTGTGCAGTCATGTTGGCCACATGATCACAGAGTTGTCTTTGACAATGCTGGCTTTTTGGTTTAGTAACAGAAATGAGCACCATCCTCTAAAGTCGGTCACGACTAGACAAACTTGTCAAAGAGGAAACCTTTACCTTTACCTTTTAA